CAGGAAGGTCACAACTCTTTTCAAGGAGTTGTTGTATAGGCAGCTGCTTCCGCCAAGTAGTAGGAAATGAGCGAATCCAGAAGTAATAAGTGGAAAGAAATGGATCATGTGCCATAGTTGCCAATATACGTCTCTCAGTGGGGTGCCTAGCTGCTGGTACAGAAGTTTAGTTTAATATGTTTATTATGCACCCCCATACCCATCCTGTGGGCTGAAGTCAAAAGATTACAGAGGTACATAATGGGTCCAGGGACTGGGCCCCAAAGTTTTGACAGCTGAGCAAGTTACAAAGGTAATGAACTCCAGGTAGATATGGTCACAAACTTGCAGAATTGTGGCTACTGCAGGCTTTTATGTATCTGATTCCGTCAGCCAGGGAAGGAAGCCGGGCCGTGAATCTGAGACACACTGTGTTGGTCTAAATGAGGGTCCCCAAGCGTAGTTCTTATCGCCTGGTTCTGTACGACCTTCATCCTTTGTCTGCTCTGCGGAAAGAGATGAGCCAATGCCGGTGCACCGTAGTCAGTGAGCGAGTGCACAGCTTGTACATAGTACAAGAGAAGTACGTACTTCTTTACTCGCCTTTGCACGGTGCCTCGTCATGGCTCTCATTGTGTTGAGTCTGAGTAGAGCATGGGATCTGACATACTCGGCCTGTTTCTGGAAAGTCAGCTTTTATCGATGTAGATTCCCAAGTATAGGTAGGAGCCTGTCCACTCAAGTTGTGTGTCCTTAATACGTAATCTGTTCATAGGCTCTGGTCCATTGAACGACATTGCAAGAGATTTCTCTGCGGAGATCTTGAGGCCTGGTTCCTTACAACATTGCATTATTAGGCCGAAAAGCTCTCTTGGCCTGTCGATCCAAATTGCCTTTCCCATTCATTACGAGTGCAAGATCATCAACATAGCTGAGGAGCTGCGTACCATTTTGAAAGAGAAGGTTCAAAAGCTCTTGCATAAGGATGTTGAACGGGGTGGGACTGAGCACACTTCTTTGTGGCTCAGCTGATACAAGCCTGCCTGTTCCTGAGGAAGGACTCTATCCAGGCCAGGAGGCGCCCTTTGATCCCCTTTGATCTGGGTGAATAGTACATGAGTATTTATAGGGTGGAGAGTCAGGTGGAGAATGCTGGATAGGTTGGATTTGAGACGTACCTGTAAGGGACCACTGAGAATGTATGGTAGGTTGGATCTGAGAAGGACCACTGCAGGACGGGCGGTTGTGTATGTAGTTATGTAGGATAACGATGAAGTTTCTTGGCAAGGGGTTCAGCTATGTTACAGAAGCCGTTGTTCAGGTTGAAATTGTTGGATGTACAGACAAGTAATGATTCGAAGATTCTGCGGCACTGAGTTTTTTCTTCTCTGACGATAAGTCTTGCGTTTCTGTAGTTGATTAAATGGTTGAGGAGATTTCCGTGTTGAACGCAGGCGTTCATTAAATCGTCCGATCTGCCTGCTTACTGGTGTTCTGAAACACGTGTTTGGAGGTCGCTGGATGTTTAGCCCATGTATAATTGGTTGCAATCATTGCAAGGGGTGATGTTCTTGATGGTAGTGGATGTGGATGTAGATACTTGGAATGAGGTATTCGAAAAGATGTTGGAAACGTGTTTGGCAACTGAGTTGGTGGGGAGGACTATGTCTCTCTTCTCGGCAGTGTCTTCTCTGGGTGAGTTAAAGATGTTATATATCCGGCGTCTGCAGTCTCTAATGAAGTGACGAAGATAGTGAAGTTTAGAAAATACTTCTTCGATGAGAGAGCATTCTTCCTCAAGGAATTCATTGCCACAGATTCGGAGTGGGCGAAGGAAAAAGCCTATAATTACAACACTTCTAGTTTTGGTGTAGTGGTGAGAGTAGAAGTGGAGAAGATTGTTTTGGTTGGTAGGTTTTCGAGAGACTTTAAAACGAAGTTCTTGGTCAGCTTTGCAGAGAAGGACATTAAGGAAAGGAAGAGTGTTGTCGACCTCTTCTAGTGTGAACTGGACTGAGGGCTCTACTTGATTGAGCTTGTGTAGGAGAGCTTGAACGTTGAAGCGTCCGGGAGTTATGATAAAAATGTTGTCAACATAACGGAGCCAGGTGGCCAAAAAGGGAATAATAGAGGAAAATCGCTCGGCTTCCAGATGTTCCATGTATAGTTTCGCCAGTACGGCACTAAGTGGGAACCCATGGGTAGTCCAAAAGTCTGCTGAAAAAGATGATTTTCGACAGAGAAACATGTACAGCCAACATACAATTCAACAAGGTCGATGAAATCGCTGTCTGGAATAGAAAGGTCAAGAGAGTCGTCATCTTTCATGCACAGGAGAATCAATGGCTTATGTAGTAGGTACCTTGGTGAATAGGGATGTTACGTCTAGGCTAGGTGTTTCTTGTTCTTGATGTTAATGTTGCGAATGCGTCTGAGAAGATCACCACTGTTTAAGACGTGCTCGATTGATTGTGCCCCAAAAGTGGAGAGAGTGTTCAGCAAAAAACCCTGAGAATTGGTGGAAGCACTCCCTATTCCAGAGAAGATGGGTTTCAGTGGAATTCCAGGCTTTGTGAGTTTCTGGCAGGCCGTACATTCTGGCGGGTCTGGGGCTTCTGGGAATGGTTTGCAGAAATTTCTTCCCTTGTTCTGAGTCCCTCAGTATGAGGCGAGTCTTGCGAAGGAATGTTTTGGTAAGGTTGTCCACTTGGTTTATTGTGAGAGGTTTGTAGGTGTCCGGGTCATTAAGAAGATTGAGCATTTTGTTCCTGTAGTCATCAGTGTTCAAGATTACGACACCACCTCCTTTCTCAGCGGTGGTGACCCTGATATTCATGACTTTTGCCAAAACTTTAAGTGCAGTCATGTAACGTCGAGGTAGGACTGAAGAGATGTGCTGAGATGGTCCACTGTCTAGTATAGAAACCGATGCCCTCAGGTTAGGCCTCAGATTCGTTACAGGAATCACGATACCTAAACAAGACCTCAATTTCATAGCTGAAAAGTACAAACACAATGACTCTGATTTCTAAAGATTACCTTCAAGGCATCATTTCAGCGGCCATCTCAACACACAGCTCCCCAGTCCTACCTTACCTAACCTTCCCACTCTCTACTCATACTCTCTCTATTAACACTTTTCTTTATTTTCAGCAAAATTTGATCAAAAAGACTCACTCATCTCTCACTGACTCTTCTTGTACACTCCCACACCTCTCGTTTTATCTATTTTTTCCTTCTCATATAATTTACCTTCCATGTCTCATTTTATTTTGTGAAAACCTCTCATGTGATACCGATTTCACCCTTACTACCTTCCTTACATTATTCTTTTTTCCCAGTCACCTCTACTGTAAGTAGGATTTGAACACATTCCAATTTTTGACTATGCTGAAAATGCTAAGAAATATGAAAATTTTGAATGTGAATGTAAAATAGCTGGTGAAGAGTATTTAGGAATCACATAAATATACCAACTGGAGCAAGGATTCCAGTAGAACTGTGAAAATGTGCAGAAGCATTGGTTTTCCCAGACCATGCTTCATCCTCCCTCACCTGTCCGTTATTCTCGTCTTCTCCTTCCTCTTCTTTCTTCCTTTCTTCAGTCCCTTCTTCTTTCCTCCTCATAGTTCTCCTCTCCCTCCTCTCTTCTCGTGAATATGTTACCAAATCTGGACATTCCTATGTAATGTGGCTTGCAGCCCCTCCCTTCCTCTCACCCGCTTCAAATTGGCAGCTCCTCGTAACATGGTATTTGGTGCTTACTGAAGGTGATCCAAGGTCGTGATCTCACTGCAGTTTCCTATGAGACTTCCTGTGACACTCGACTATAAATAAGTGAGCTCACTGCAACGATCGTCAGTTACCTCGTCCACTGCAGCACAACAAACATGGTAAACAAACTGCTACGTTTTATGTTCTCATACAACCTGCCATTTGCTATTCAGAATTATATACAACACTAAAGAAAAATATTTTCAAAGAATGTTACTATATAGTGACTGGAATGATTCACAATTAACCCACAAACTGGAAATGTAAACTAAATTAGGTTGTAAGTGATATAGTGACAGGACAAGTTTAAGATATTTATTATAGAAAATATTACACCCCGAGTGGTTTCTTCAGTTCTAATACAGAATAAGTTAAAAACAAAGTGCTGTATAGTGGACAGAACAGGTGACCCTGTCTAATGGTCACCTGCCATGTCCACTATATCACACCCACTGTTGTTCTACTCTCTACTAACAATAATGAAGATATTCTTGGTGACTCGTCTCCTTTAACAAATATCTTGAAGTATGCTTAAGTGTATTTATCCACATACATAATACTGGTCCAGGATGGACGAAAATTTTTCACTTCCATTCCGAATATAAGGGTTAAATGTTAACAAATTTATATAATCTTCAATTATTCTGAATTATACATAATATTATAAATCAATATTATTCCTATTTTCATCAAGTATTTAGGATTATATGCAAGAACATAGAAGCACTGCATTTGGACTACGGACCATGTGATGTAAATGGGTTTGAAAACCGACACTTACGCAACGTATGGAAATCTGTATTACGGAAAAGTTTCCAGAATAAAGATTTCCCAAATGTTGCACAAGTGTATATCAGCACCTATATACTGTGAAATAAAGACACGTGTGCAACATCCAGGACATTTTTAGGACGCGGTCCACCGGCTGGAAATAGGGTGTGGCATCTGGGTGAGCGAGGCCAGCGGATGCTGACCCACTGAATGAGTTGTCATCTGAGACTCATCACGAGACACAGACTTACTTCCTGCTGAATACACACACACTCCAACACCACCCCACCACCACCTCACCACCACCACCACCCTACCACCACTCACCACCACTCCACCCACCACCACCTAACTCAACTCACCTACCACCACCACCACCCACCCACCACCACTCCACCACCACCACTCCACCACCACCCTCACCACTCACCACCACCACCACCACACACCACCCACACCACCACCCACCCACCACCACCACCCACCACTCACCACCACCACCCACTCACACCACCACCACCCCACTCCACCACCACCACTCCCACCACCACCACCACACCACCTCCACCACACACCATTCCACCACCACCACTCCACCACCACTCCACCACCACACCACTCCACCACCACCAACCATCACACCACCACCACTCACCACCACCACTCCACCACCACCATTCCACCACCACCATCACCACCACTCCACCACCACCACCCACCACCACCCACCCATCCACCACCACCATCCACCACCACCACTCACCAACCACCACCACCACCCCCACCACCACCACCACCACCACCACCACCACCACCACCACACTCCACCACCACCACCCACCACCATCACCACCACCACCACTCCACCACCACCACCACCACCACCACCACCACCACACCATCCATCACCACCACTCCCCACCACCACCATCACCACCACCATCCACCATCCACCACCATCATCCACCACCACCACCACCACCCACCACCACCACCCACCACCATCACCACCACCACCACCCACCACCACTCCACCACCACCACTCCCACCCCCACCACCACCACCACACCACCACCACTCACCCCACCACCACCATCCATCACCACCATCACCCACCCATCCACCACCACATCCACCACCACCACCACCACCACACACCACCACCACCACCACCACCACCACACCACCACCCACCACCACTCACACACCACCACCACCCACCACCACCACCACCACCACCACCACCACCCACCACCACCACCCACCACCACACACACCCACCACCACCACCACCACCCACCACCACCACCACCACCACCACCACTCCACCACCACCACACCACCACCACCACCACCACCACCACCAACACTAGATTAAGTCAGCTTCCAGTCTACTAACAAGTAATTAATGTCCTAAACTTCATCATAACTTTAATCTTCCTTCTGACAGTAAGTTTCTTGTACACGTCTTTATCTCCCAACAGTAAATATAACAGCAACTTATGTGTGATATAACACACTGATCAACACATTTATTAAGGACACGTTTCACCACGAGCAGCTTCATTAGGACTCAAGAAGACACTCCGGGCGAAACGTCTCCTTCATAAAAGTCTTGATCAGTGCATACATGTGTATTTCCTACTACTTGTCGATATAACCTCACCAGTTACATTGATATAACGATTGTTCATTTTTTTTAGACTTGGAGTGTTTACACCGTGTTGGTGCTGAGTGTTGTGGCTGCTACAGTCGGTGCCCAGGACAGCTACAGTGGCTACGATGGCAGTAGACTCGGGGGGTACAACGATGGAGGACTAGGAGGCCTGGGCAGTGGAGGTTATGGTGGAAATGGGTTTGGAGGCTTAGGCAATGGAGGGCTAGGAGGATATGGGGGATTGGGCAACGGAGGTCTTGGCGGATTAGGTGGTCTCGGGGGATACGGAGGAAATGGATTTGGAGGACTGGGCAATGGAGGTCTTGGGGGATATGACGGGAGTGGATTCGGAGGATTAGGCAATGGCGGACTTGGAGGATATAACAATGGTGGTTTAGGAGGATTAGGTGGATATGATGGAAATGGATTTGGAGGATTAGGCAATGGCGGACTTGGAGGCTATAACGACGGTGGCCTCGGAGGATATGGAGGCAACGGACTTTTAGGATTAGGCAACGGCGGCCTTGGAGGCTATGGAGGAAATGGACTTGGAGGATTAGGCAATGGCGGCCTTGGAGGTTATGGAGGCAACGGATTTGGAGGTATGTTGAATGAGAAACATTATTATTATTATTATTGACAAGTGTATTTTGTCTCCCTTCGTCATGCAGTTACATTTGTTATTAATAACATTAGTTATTCTTCTTATTAATAACTTCAGTTATAATTAGCATTAATAATTTTAGCTATTCTTGTTATTAATAACGCTTCCGTTATCATTTAACTGATTTAGTCCGCGTTCCTTATTTATGAAGAATAATAATTACATCTTTTGTAATATTCTTTATTGAATTTGTGACGAAAACGTTACTTGAGCGAGTTGTTGTTTCTGTCGGAATTAACTATTTAATATCAGATACCATATATCTACAAGAGGGAGTCGTTTGTATTACTAGTTTTTTTTTTTTATATAAAAATAACCATTAGTTACTGTCGTGGATGGCAAGAATTGATATCTCATTATAAGGATTTCTTTCACTAAATTTACTCTTATGATCGCAGGATACGGGAAGTAGACAGAGAGTCCACACTTCATCGACATCAGAGTGAAGGATGCTGCACTCTGCGCTCACAGCACCGCGAGTGAACACTTGGGCTTGTAATGCTGTCAACGAATATCGATGATAAAGAATTTTTATTTTTAATCTTCATTTCGTTTTTGCTTTCACCCTTCCTCGTGAACGAGAGGTCGCGTACATCATCATCTACCTTGTTTCTCGACCAGCAACTCCAGTTAATGTGTAGAATGAGAAGTAGATATGACAGAGGTGTACTATCAATAACTAGTACGTCACATTGGTAGCTAGTCAAGGTGTAGAGGCGAGGCCCGAAAGAGTTAAATTAGGTTATTGCCTGTGTCAGGAGTGATGGAGTATCCATCACATGCGCCTGGATGATCCTTCACACTGGAATTCGGAGAGAATTTGTGGTAAGCGATTCTGGGAATGTTTATATGAAGCTACTGGTGGGAGAAATATCTTCAGATAGATACCTAAATGTTGCACAGGTATCTAATTTCTCATTTTGGGATCTGCCAAAGGAACATTACAAATGGTTACAATGTTTTATTTGTCAGTATTAGTACTGCAGATGTGACGGTCACCGAGTGTACCACTTGTATACACAAATAACCCGCACATAGAAGGGAGGAGCTTACGACGACGTTTCAGTCCGACTTGGACTATTTACAAAGTCACACTAGCGAAAAGAAGAGCAGGAGGGGTATATATAGACCGGAGGTGGTGGTAGTAGTAGTAGTAGTAGTAGTAGTAGTAGTTGAGGTAGGAGGAGGGGGAGCCAGTCAAATACTGTACTAAGAAAGAGGAGCACTACAAGGGAGTTCGGTTTCCACAGAGGGTAAAAGCAAGAAGACAGAGGGAGGAAAATAAATAAATAAATAATAAAGGAACAAATACACAAGGCAGAAGAAAGACAACCTAGTGTGACTTTGTAAATGGTCCAAGTCGGACCGAAACGTCGTAATAAGCTCTTCCTTTCTATTTGCGGGTTATTCGTGTATCGTTCCAGTCACGGTATTGTGCCTTTTTTTGTTACCACTTGTATTATGCTTCAACAACTAATGCATCAGGGGCAAAATACTGAACTAATACACACTAATGAATTTTCACGAATATTTAAAACTAATCTACTGATCCAATGTTTCCATTTTTAATGAGGGTTCTAAATATAGTAAAAAGCATATTAGTGTCTTTGTTGAAGTAAGTGAGCAGTATAATGGCGGGTTTAAACTTTAATACGACACCACATGAACAAATTTATGTTAATGTTAACTATTTTGCTAATGAAAGAAGGATATGATGATCAATGAAAGTGAATAGCAAATTATTAATTTAGTTGGTGTTATTACGTTACATTCTCAACTTTATAAGACTCGCTACTTGATAATGGTCCAGGATTCACAGAAATTTCTAAACTATCCTCTTTAAATTGTCAGTTGCCAAAAAGACCATTTAAATTCCTAAGCCTATTGTCTCACTGCCAAGATACCAGGCCTAAAGAATAGGTCAGCATGCTTTACAAAAAAAAGGTAAATATGCGCTACACACAGCATGTGTTCCTGTTGGTCAGCACTGTAGCTGACGCATAGTGTCAGCAGAATAAATAAGACACATTTGGAACATTTCGGTATCTTTATTTTACAATAGTCGTGATCAGTCCTCTCACCCTTGGTGGAAGGGTGAGGGACTGATCACCTCACTCTTGCTTCCACAGCTACCACTGCTGTGTTCACATGTACCCGACTGAAGAATGATGTTGTTAGGAGAAACGTGTCGGCAACAAAGATACCCAAGTGTTGCAAATATCTTATTTCAAACCCTTCACCGCCCTGATGCCTATGAAGAGCTTTTGATCTAAGGAATCTGAGATACTCTCTCCTAATTACCACGCATTACCCAGGTACTGCATGACTTATCCAATTACCACGCTTTACTAAGGTGCTGTATGAATTACCTACTTACCACACATTACCCAGGTGCTGTATGACTTACCTACTTACCACACATTACCCAGGTGCTGTATGACTTACCTACTTACCACACATTACCCAGGTGCTGTATGACTTACCTATTTACCACACATTACCCAGGTCCTGTATGATTTACCTAATTACCACGCATTACCCAGGTACTGCATGACTTATCAAATTACCACGCTTTACTAAGGTGCTGTATGAATTACCTACTTACCACACATTACCCAAGTGCTGTATGACTTACCTACTTACCACACATTACCCAGGTGCTGCATGACTTACCTACTTACCACACATTACCCAAGTGCTGTATGACTTACCTACTTACCACACATTACGTAGGTGCTGTATGACTTACCTACTTACCACACATTACCCAGGTGCTGTATGACTTACCTACTTACCACACATTACCCAGGTGCTGTATGACTTACCTACTTACCACACATTACCCAGGTGTTGTATGATTTACCTACTTACCACACATTACCCAGGTGCTGTATGACTTACCTACTTACCACACATTACCCAGGTGCTGTATGACTTACCTACTTACCACACATTACCCAGGTGCTGTATGACTTACCTACTTACCACACATTACCCAGGTGCTGTATGACTTTACCTACTTACCACACATTACCCAGGTGCTGTATGACTTACCTACCTACCATACATTACCCAGGTGCTGTATGACTTACCTACCTACCATACATTACCCAGGTGCTGTATGACTTACCTACTTACCACACATTACCCAGGTGCTGTATGACTTACCTACCTACCATACATTACCCAGGTGCTGTATGACTTACCTACCTACCATACATTACCCAGGTGCTGTATGACTTACCTACTTACCACACATTACCCAGGTGCTGTATGACTTACCTACTTACCACACATTACCCAGGTGCTGTATGACTTACCTACCTACCATACATTACCCAGGTGCTGTATGACTTACCTACCTACCATACATTACCCAGGTGCTGTATGACTTACCTACTTACCACACATTACCCAGGTGCTGTATGACTTACCTACCTACCATACATTACCCAGGTGCTGTATGACTTACCTACCTACCATACATTACCCAGGTGCTGTATGACTGAGACCTGGGGTCGAACGCCTCTCCTTGTTGGGTAAGGAGGAGGAACAATATGGTTCAGAAGGCCACCAAGCTGCTGAAGAAGATCACTCTCAAAGATTACTGGAGTAGAACGCGTCTTTGGCCATGACCTCAGCATCTAACATAACACAACCAAGCTTGTGGAACCCACCACGACGCTTCACAGAACACTAGCACGCTCACTCGATCACCTTCCTGCCGGTCCATACTACAACAAAAATATAAACGAACTCTTTTTCTAGCTCCTCGACTGCATAATGGAGTCCCATTGACCAGCAGGAGTTCGGAATCTGTTCATACTTTCAAGTCTCAGTTGAAAACATATCTCTTTTCTAGAGTTTAAAATCCTGATGAACATAAACTTTAGCGTTCTTGCTTTTTTTTTTGCGTAGTTGTAGTATTTATGTTTGATGTGCGAGCGATTGTGAATTTCTCGAAAGAATTGGTTCTCAAGAATGATCAATTCCCCACATTTTTATTATTGTTGTTACCTCTCAAAGGAGGTTCCTTGACGCTGGTGAGGGGCTCTTGATCTAGGGAATTGGATCTGTGCTCCAGTTACCTAAATTGAGCCTGAATACCCTCCATCCCCCCAAAGGCGCTGTATAATCCCTACGGGTATAGCGCTACGTCATGATAATAATAATTATTATTATTGTGAACTCTTCAAAAGAGCATCTGAGAGTGTGGTACATGATTATTAAGTTTCCCACACTGCACCTCGGCTGAGGTGTGTGTATTGTGCACGACCATGTGATGTGTGTATTGTGCACGACCATGTGATGTGTGTATTGTGCACGACCACGTGATGTGTGTATTGAGCACGACCATGTGGTGTGTGTATTGTGCACGACCATGTGGTGTGTGTATTGAGCACGACCATGTGGTGTGTGTATTGAGCACGACCATGTGGTGTGTGTATTGTGCACGACCATGTGGTGTGTGTATTGAGCACGACCATGTGGTGTGTGTATTGAGCACGACCATGTGATGTGTGTATTGTGCACGACCACGTGATGTGTGTATTGAGCACGACCATGTGGTGTGTGTATTGTGCACGACCATGTGATGTGTGTATTGTGCACGACCATGTGATGTGTGTATTGTGCACGACCACGTGATGTGTGTATTGAGCACGACCATGTGGTGTGTGTATTGTGCACGACCATGTGGTGTGTGTATTGAGCACGACCATGTGGTGTGTGTATTGTGCACGACCACGTGATGTGTGTATTGTGCACGACCACGTGGTGTGTGTATTGTGCACGACCATGTGGTGTGTGTATTGAGCACGACCATGTGGTGTGTGTATTGTGCACGACCATGTGGTGTGTGTATTGTGCACGACCACGTGAAGTGTGTATTGTGCACGACCATGTGGTGTGTGTATTGAGCACGACCATGTGGTGTGTGTATTGAGCACGACCATGTGATGTGTGTATTGTGCACGACCACGTGATGTGTGTATTGTGCACGACCATGTGGTGTGTGTATTGTGCACGACCATGTGGTGTGTGTATTGAGCACGACCATGTGGTGTGTGTATTGAGCACGACCATGTGGTGTGTGCAATGAGCACGACCATGTGGCGTGTGTATTGAGCACGACCATGTGGTGTGTGTATTGAGCACGACCATGTTGTGTGTGCAATGAGCACGTCCATGTGGTGTGTGTATTGAGCACGACCATGTGGTGTGTGTATTGTGCACGACCATGTGGTGTGTGTATTGAGCACGATCATGTGGTGTGTGTATTGAGTACGACCATGTGGTGTGTGTATTGAGCACGACCATGTGGTGTGTGTATTGAGCACGACCATGAGGTTGTGTATTGTGCACAACCATGAGGTTGTGTATTGTGCACAACCATGAGGTTGTGTATTGTGCACAACCATTAGGTTGTGTATTGTGCACAATCATAAGGTTGTGTATTGTGCCTAACCATGAGGTTGTGTGTTGTGCACAAGCATGAGGCGTGCATTGTGCACGACCATGAGGTCGTGTATTGTGCACGACCATGAGACTTGTATCGTGCTCTACCATGAGACTCTGTATTGTGCACGACCATGAGGTTGTGTATTGTGTACGACAGTGAGGCGTGTATTGTGCACGACCATGAGACGTGTATT